TTGCTTTTAAAATTATTTTTCACTATTTTTATAAAATAAAAGGGGAAAGTTGGCTATTTAATATTTAGCCCATTTCTATTTCAATTACAGCCCCCATTTCCTTTCAATTTTGGCCCTTAATTTGACCCAATTCCGCCCCAAATTAAACTAGCCCAATCCCTAAATTACCCGACCCCTGACCCGATTAAAAACCCACCCGGCTCCCCTTTGATCCAGGCCGTTGATCGTTTTGATCAACGGCCATTAGTTCCCCTTTCCTTTTTTAGTCTCCAAACCCCCCTAACCTAATTCATTTCGTCTGAGACGCCGCCTTTGAACCCCTTCGTCTCTCAAATTCTCTCGAACCTTCCTGGAACCCTAATCGTCTCCCACCTTATTTCACCGGGTTTCCACCGGAATCCGTTGCGTCTCAGGCCATGGATGGTCTGTACTCACCCTTCCTCACCATTAGACCTAAGCTATTCAAGGCTGTGAAACCTGACTTCGATGGTTCTCTCCAAGACCTTCTCAGATCTGTAGATCTATGGCTTCACCGACCATTACTCCGGCATATTCGAGCAATATGAGTCTTTTCGACTCAGGATCTGACTTTCCTCAAGACCTTTCTCATTCCTAGGGTTTTTCTCTGCAACCCTAAGCTGTCCGAGGTTCTTTACTTGCTTATTTTCTTAGATCTGGAACATGTCTATGTTCTATTGAACGTTTAAAAGATTTTCCCCAAATTTCCTTTTTCAAAATCATTTTTTCTTTCGATTTAGGGTTTCTGAAAGGTTTTCAAAAGCATCTTTCTGACTCTGTTGTTCTTTCCTTATGTGTGTTTGTCTGACTTCTTTTACTACGCATGTACTGTTCTTCTATTTTCTTTTTTCTACTCTACATGTTATTCCTGTGCTCACATGTTAATCCGTGTTGTTTTCCTTATTCTTTGCTATATGTGTTTACGGTCGAGTTCTTTGATTTTTGTTTACTTTACTGAACTCTGTTTGTGTTCTTACTAAGCATATTTCATCTACTTTTGTTTAAGCTCGTATCATCTCTTTCTTCTGAACCTGTGTAAATTCCGGGTTTTCTCAAACATGTTCTCATGATCTTGAATTAGTTTTCTTTCTATCATGTATGTTTGTTTCTCATAAGTCTTTGGAAAAGACTTCTGAGCCTCTCTCAAGTGGCTTGCTTTCTCACCTCTATGTCTGATTCAATTCGAAAACCCTAGGATTTGGGGGTTTCTTGGCAATTTTGATTTGTGTGCGAGTTAGGGTTCTATTTTGGGACCCTGGACTCCCAGACTCGTTTTGAGTCTGCAAACTAGACTTATACCACTTTTGCTTATGATTCTGGACCTCTCTTTGATTAACTTCTCTTCCAAATAACTTGACAATCCCTTCTTGATTCACTTATTTGTGTGCTTTATATATGAGAAACTCCTCTTTCAAAAGGTTTACCAACTAATTGATTGATTCTGAAATCCTTTTAATAAGGCTGACAGATTGTCACTGATTTTCTTTGATTGAACTTCCTTTACCTTTCCTGACTTGGTTCATTCTAATTGAACTTGTAATTTTGGTTTCACTGGCTGTTTGATTGATTCCCTTGCCATATTTAGCATAAACCGTGTACCACTAATTGTTTTCCTTAAATAACTCCTATGTATTTACCCTTCTTATGCTACTTTGAAAAGGTTTTAATTAAAACTCCTTTCCTTAACTGGCTTTTACCTGTTGAAATCAGAATCCCTTAACCAAAGGGAGATTGATTTCGATGTTATTTCCTTGCCTCTCTTACTTGATTTCTGCACTATAAAAGGGACTGCCCTTCTGCACTTTTAAGAGGGATACACTACCCTATGTTTCAGCACTCTTGTTCACTTTGTTGTTCATGTTCAGTGATTAAACCATGTATGTTCTTTCCTTGCACCTGTTTCTATTGTGAATCCCTACCCCATATTCCCTTTATGTGTTTGAGTTAAGGTTCTTGGCCTAGCAGTATCCAAATTACTGCCCAGGTCAGAACCTGATCCTCAATGGATCCTAACTCCTCATATTTGGCTAACAGGTTGGTCAGGGGTGTGCCAGCACTCTTAATTGCTGGGCATGACCACCAGCCTGCCATGGCCTTCCCTAATTCTCGTTTATGCACTTACACTTACTCTTAGACTCTTAAGTTCTGCCCCCCTCCTATGAGCCCTGCTTTGGGACCTTGAGTTCCCTCTGAACTTGGACATTTGAGGGCTGGCCTTTCCACACTGCATCATGATCTATTTCTGCAATGCATTTGGGGTATAAGCATTGCCCGGAGCCCCTTTGAGACTCTTGGGAACTTTGATACATCCCAAATATGAGAAAGGCTTTTGGAAATCTGATCCTGGAAGTTGGTTTATCTCATATTGTTGGACTTTGAGTCTGAATTAGGCTGTTTGGTTGTAGCTTGAGTTTCTGATGTATTTTTTTTTTACTCTTCTTGATTTACTTGGGTCTGTAATAATTTGTAATAACTATTGGGGATGGCTAGTAGAAAGGAATGGGAATGAATGCATGCAAAGGGTAGATAACTTGCCTATAGGATTTTCTGATTCCTGCGTTCATATAGACAGCATACTTATAGGTTACTTATAAAATCCTGCATTCATGTAGATAACTTGTTCATAAGGTTACTTATAAATTTCTGCACTTCTGCATTCTCACCTTAGAAATTCTGCCTATAGAAATCCTGTCTCTAAGTTTCTGCATTTCCGCATATAGAAATCATGATCATAGGTTTTCTGCACTTCTGCATATACATGTCATTAGGCAAACCATCATAGGTCTAATAATAATCAACTTCATTCTAGATACCATGCCTATAAGACTCTTGCATTTATGTAATCGTTTAAAACCAATAACGCTTAGAAATCATGTCTATAGGAGTAATCAACTGAATCAGCTTCGTCTATTTCATCCATGAGTCTAAAATCAGCCACAAGGTCGTTTAAAATCTGCAGATCTTTTGTTTATAAAACCAGTAATCTTTTCTTTAAAATCAGTACGCTATGTTAGATATCATGTCTATAGGTCTCATCTAGGCAAACGATTAGTTGATTAATTAACTGTGTCAGTTTTGATAAACTACAACCAGACAAGGCTAATTCGGATTCTTCATCTGAGAAATATGTGATAAATCAGCCTGTCCTAACGCTTTAAATTTAATTCAGACCTAATCAGTACCTGTAAGTCATGCTAAATAATTTTTTGCTTTGAATGAGGAGGCCTATTTGAGCCTTTAACTGCTATGTACTTCCCCTTTTACTGCTTTATGTATTTTTTTTGTCGCACTAGGTTTTTGTCCTTTTAAAACTCTGAAAAGACAATCTCCCTTCCCTTTAGGATTAGTAGTCCCAACTGCCTCCGGGACTGATAGGATTGGGGCGGGTAATAGCATGCAATAAGTAACGAGATCATTCAGCGATTTAATACCTTAATGGGGTGGGTAAGGGTAGACATGGATATGATGACCACGCGATAACACTACGTGTATAAATGGTTACCAGGTGTTGCGTGGGGTGATCCATGTTATTTATAAACCTAGGACCCCCCCCCCCTTTACTTGTTTATTTTCTTTTTTTCAGAATTTTTATAAAAGCTATAAATTTTCAGTTCTTAAAACTCCTTCTTTTACTTCAATCCTTTAAAAGTCTCTTTTAGATATTTAATTTCCCGCACTGTTTTTCTCCGAACCTCCGCCTCTTTTACTCCTTCGTTTGATTATTTGTACCAATTATTTGACCCCCCCTTTCTGCACTTATACATCCTTTAAACAATTATGAAATCGCCTATATCTAAACTTCAACACGCTTTTAATTTTTATACTTTCCTTGTTGCAATCATTATGTGAGAGTTGTCTTGTTTGCTTACTTGTTGTTTCCATTCAAAGTCACAATTATAGCATGGCCGGGAACCACACTAGTGGATCTTGGGGGGTGCCTAACACCTTCCCCCCGAGATAATTTCAAGCTCATACCCATTCTCTGGTTCTTCTTCTCTCTTGAATTTCTTAGTGTCCTAATGCACTTAATCATTAGGTGGCGACTCTTCTAAATTGCAAACCCAATTCCCAAAGGAAAAGAGTTGTCCGTCCAAATGTCATAAACCCGATTTTGCCTTTAGAAAAAGGGGGCATCGACAGAGGCAACATCCCATTCAGAGTTGCTTTCAGTATGGCACAAAACCCAGGTGATAATTTTTAGTTTCTTTTATTGGGAAAAATACAGAATTACAATAAGAAGAAAAATGCTTATTTATGATAGTTTTCAAGTTCCATTATATATGATCTATAATTACTAAGGAAAAAGTGGCCCTTTGTTTGCAAACAGCTCTATGCTGTTGTCAGCAGCGAAGTGTTCAAAATTTGAACACCCTTCGTTACTGGGCTATGCAAGGGTGTTCATGTTGGAGCCCATGACACACTACACAGGCCCATTATAGAACAGGCCCAATTGAAGAAGTTGCAGCTGATGAATCATCCCTGTTAATTAGACCCGGTTCATTGTAAATATAAATATAAAGTTTCACATTATTTTGTACAGACATTTTTACATATTAATAAAAGATCTCTATTCAGCTCAAGTTCTTCTCTCTTCATACGAACATTTCATCTTAGGGTTTCTCGTATGAATCTTGTTCGAGATCATGAAGAATTCGACTGTTTTCATGGTATCAGAGCTCGGGAGCTCGTAGATTTTATGTTTCCGCATCGATCGATGGTACCCTCGGTCAGTTTGGTTAGAGTTTGACTCCGTTAATTTTCTTGGATTTCGTCAAAATTGTTCTTTTTTGCTGAGGTTTTCTTTCGATCTCGACAGAAGGTTCGAAGCTAAGTGTTTTTTTTTCTTCAGTTTCGATTTTCAATTGGTAGTTGTTTTGCTGTTTCACGCTATAGCTATCATCAGTGCTGTGAAAATTGACTGACTTTGTGAAAGCCCTAATTTTTCTTCAAACCTAAATTTTCAATTGCATAATTTTCTATCGATGGCTCCTATTGACGATTCATCTGCTACTACTGCCACTACTTCTTCAACCTCAACTAGCTCTTCTTCTGTTGAACCGTCTCACCCTTTGTACCTGTACCCGTCTGATTCGCCTGGCACAATTTTAGTCACAAAGACCTTTAATGGCACGACTTATGGGGGTTGGAGACGAAGCATGTTTATTGGCTTATCATGTAAGAATAAATTGGGGATAATCAATGGGACAATCCCCAAACCTAGTGAAAACTCTGTGTTGTTTGAACCCTAGGTCCGTTGTAATGACATGGTGACTGCTTGGATACTAAATAGTCTAGACACTGAGATTAGGGAGAGTGTGATGTATACAGAATCTGCTCAAAAACTTTGGAAAGAAATCGAACAACGATATGGGAAAGCGAATGGGACTAAGGTGCTTCAAATCAGGAAGGACCTTGCTTCCATTTCCCAGGGACCCTCTAACATTGCTTCCTATTTCAGTCGCATTAAAAAGCTTTGGGATGAGTTGGCTTATTCAATCACTTATCCAGACTGTACATGTGGTTGTAAAGAGGCCTTTCAGAAGATCGAAGAAGAGCAAAAGGTTCATCAATTCCTGATGGGGTTGAATGAAACCTACACTAGCGTTAAAAGAAACTTTCTTCTAATGAAACCTTTGCCTGATATTGACAGTGTGTATGCTATGCTGATTGAGGATGAAAGCCAAGCTGAGGTACAAATTTCAAATTCAGTTTTTAGTCCAGAATCTGCCTCCTTTAGCACAAATGTTCAGAAACCTATGAATTCAAGGATGCAATTTGACACTACTAGGGAGAGTACCAGAGTTCAAAGGCCTTTTACTCAAAGGATAAATTTTGATCCTACTAAGAAGGGGAATTCTAGTTTAATGTGCCGATACTGTAAGAAGCCCGGGCATCTAATTGAAAACTGCTACAAGCTGCATGGGTACCCTCCAGGTTTTGGTTCCAAGTTCAGAAGGCCAACTGCATTTGCTCAAATTTCTGATCCCCCTGACATGGGAGCTACTGATAATTCTGCTTCTGAGAGCTCCAAGGTGATTCCACTTGACATTCTGGGCAACATTCTGACAAAAGAACAATATGATCAACTGCTCAATTTGCTCCAACAGTCCAAGATGTCCTCTGCCTCTCAAGACATTCCTTCTAGTTCAGCAAACTTTGCAGGTCTGATAGGTACTTCTGTTTTCAGTAATTCTACTTCTTATGTTTGCAATTTTACTAAAGTAGAGGATGACTTTTGGATCATAGACTCTAGTGCTACTAATCATATGACCCCTCACCAATCTTTACTAACTGATATTAAGCCCTTACCTTTGCCTTACCTTGTGACTCTTTCTAATGGGTACAAAGTTAAGGTCCATTGTATTGGTTCTCTTTATCTTTCTCCAACCATTTCTCTTCCTAATGTCTTACTTGTTCCTTCGTTTCATTATAATCTCATCTCTTTGAATCAACTACTTGTTCATCTTAAATGTTATGCCTTTTTTACTGCCTATGCATGTGCTTTGTTGCAAGGCCCTTTTCTGAAGAAGCCAGTGGTGCTTGGTAGACTTCAGAAGGGTCTCTACATTCTTCAGCCCAATGATCTTTGTGACTGTGATACTTCTTCTTCTAATTCCTCTGTAAATACCATAACTGCCACTGTTGATATAACGAATAAGAGCAGTTCTCTTTTATATCCTTCTGTGTGTGCTAATATTTCTACTTCTGCCTTGTCTGTTGATCATGCATGGCATTTGAGGTTAGGACATGCTCCTTTTGCTAAAATGAAGCATATTTCTTTTCTTGCTGATAAATTGCCTCCCAAACAATCTTTCATTTGTCCCATGGCTAGGCAACAAAGGCTACCCTTTCCTGAAAGTACCATTCACTCTACTACTCTTCCATTTGTCCCATGGCTAGGCAACAAAGGTTACCCTTTCCTGAAAGTACCATTCACTCTACTACTCCTTTTCAATTGATTCATGTAGACTTGTGGGGACCCTATCACCCCAACTTATAATGGTTTTAAGTATTTTCTGACCATTGTAGATGATTTTACTTGGGCCACTTGGACCCACTTGCTTTCCTCTAAATCCAATGCCTTCTCTATTTTGAAATCCTTCATTGCTATGGTCAGCACTCAGTTTTCCCTTCCTGTTAAAACTGTGAGATCAGACAATGCTTTTGAGTTGGGAGGAAGTAATGAGGCTAAAACCTTTTTCTCTGCTCAAGGTATCCTTCACCAGACTTCCTGTTTACATACACTACAACAAAATGGTGTAGTGGAGAGGAAACACAAACACCTACTTGAAACTGCCCGGGCACTCCTCTTTCAATCAAAATTGCCTCTCAAGTATTGGGGTGAGTGTGTTTTGACTGCCACCTACCTCGTCAATAGGTTTCCTTCCCCTCTACTTCAACGTAAGTCTCCTTTTGAGTTGTTGCATGGTTCCTCTCCTTCATTTGCACATTTGAAAGCTTTTGGGTGCCTATGTTTTGCTGCTGTCCCTAAGCCTTACAGAGATAAGTTCAAATCTAGGACTATTCCATCTGATTTCATTGGATATAGTTCTGGGAAGAAAGCTTATAAGTTGCTCAACCTCTCCAGCTCAGTCATTTTTCACTCAAGGGATGCGGTGTTCCACGAACACATATTTCCCTATTCTGATGCATCTACTTCTTCTCCTTTGTTTCCTCCTCTCCCTCATTTTTCTATGCCTGAGCATGTACCAATGCCTGACCATATTCCTGCTGCTATTCCTGTTTCTACCTCTTCCTCTATTTCTTCTTCTCATGTTCCATAATATGCTCCTAATCCTCCTCTTAGGAGATCTGATAGGCCTTCCAAAACTCCTCCTTATCTTAATGATTATGTATGCACAACTGTTTCTGGTTCTAATGTCTTACCCTCTTCTGATGTTAATTGCTTATTAGAGCCTCAATTTTATCATCAAGCTGTGTCTAACCCTGCTTGGCAAGAGGCCATGATAAAGGAGTTTTAAGATTTAGATGCCAATAACACCTGGACTATAATGCCTCTTCCATCAGGGAAGAAGGCTATACCTTGTAAATGGGTTTACAAGATAAAACAGCGGACTGATAGTTCCATTGAGAGATACAAGGCTAGGTTGGTGATTCGAGGGGATAGTCAACAGGAAGGAGTAGATTTTACTGAAACTTTCTCTCCAATGGTCAAGTTGACCACCATTAGATGTCTGTTGTCCATAGCAGCTAAGAGACATTGGACAGTCTTCCAACTTGATGTTAACAATGCTTTTCTACATGGGTATCTTGATGAAGAGGTCTTTATGAAAATACCTCCTGGTCTAACTGTTCAGTCCTCTCCTTCTACTACTCCTTTGGCTTGTAAGCTAAATAAATCCCTCTATGGTCTTAGACAGGCTTCTAGATAATGGTATGCTAAGCTGTCTTCGGCTCTTCAGTCCAAGGGTTTTCATCCTAGTGTTGATGACTATTCTTTGTTTCGAAAATTGCATGGGAATTCCTTGACCATAGTAGTTGTTTATGTTGATGATATATTGGTGACTGGGGATGATTTATGTGAAATTGTTGCCTTAAAACAGTTCTTAGATGATCAGTTTAAGATAAAAGATCTTGGTGGAATTCATTTTTTTTTCTTGGGCTTGAGGTTGTCAAGCAAGAAAATGGTTTTCTGGTTAATCAACACAAGTTCTTTGTGGAACTTCTTTCTGAGTTCCATTGTTCTGCTGTTACTCCTGTTGTTTCCCCCTTAGATCCTCATGTTAAGTTGTCAGCTGATTCTGGAGAATTGTTGCCTGATCCATCTGTCTATAGAAGATTGGTATGGAAGTTAAATTTCTTGCAGCATAATAGACCTGACATATCATTTACTGTTCAACATTTGAGTCAGTACATGTCTGCTCTACGGCTGGACCATTTGGATGCTGCTTATCATGTATTGAGGTACTTGGTGGCACACCCTTACTTGGTTTATTGTTATGTAATTCTCCTGATTTTACTCTCCGAGGTTACTGTGATTCAGATTGGGCAAGCTGTGCTGATTCTCGTCGGTCTGTTAGTGGCCTTATTGTCTTTCTTGGTGACTGCCCCATTGCCTAGAAGTCTAAGAAACAGCCCACCATTGCTCTATCTTCTGCTGAGGCTGAGTACAGGGCACTCAGGTTGTTGGTTGCTGAGGTTTCATGGGTCCTTCGACTTTTCGGTGAGCTTGGTGTGGCTGATCTTGTTCCCGTTGATGTTTTTTGTGATAGCAAACCTTCCATACACAACGCCAAGAATCCTGTTTTCCATGAACGTACTAAGCATATTGAAGTGCATTGTCACTTTGTTCGGGATGCCTTGAATGCTGGGCTCATTACTCTACACTTTATTTCTACTCGTTCTCAACTGGCTGACATTTTTACTAAGCCCCTTTTGGTAGCAGCCAATAGGCCTTTATCTCCAAGCTTGGAATGGATTCCCCTTCCAGCTTGAGGGGGGGTGTTGGAGCCCATGACACACTACACAGGCCCATTATAGAACAGGCCCAATTGAAGAAGTTGCAGTTGATGAAGCAGCCCCCTTAATTAGACCCGGTTCATTGTAAATACATAAATATAGAGTTTCACATTATTTTGTACAGACATTTTTACATATTAATAAAAGATCTTTATTCATCTCAAGTTCTTCTCTCTTCATACGAACATTTCATCTTAGGGTTTCTCGTGTGAATCTTGTTCGAGATCATGAAGAATTCGACTGTTTTCGGTTCAAAGTGTATTTTTGTTTATCAATAACAAGTACTACTAATATTTTATCTTAATAAGTATAATTTTTCGGCGAACGGCGAAGGGTGTTCAGTTTACCACCCTTGGCCACGCTGTGCCCCTGACTGTTGTGTTGTAGCTAGTGCAGAATTATCTGCAGCAAACATAATCCGAGTGTGTGTGTGTATATATATATATATATATATATATATATAACTATGCCTTATTAATTCTTCGAATCCAGAATTAGATTGTTGAGCTCTAGGTCTAAGAAAGTTTTTTGGACTCTACAACCTATGTATATCTTTGATTGATGATAGCCTAGCTTTTTTGAATTTTTTGGTATTTTTTTTCTTTTTGCAAGTATTTCTGCTTCAATTATGAAATTTATTTGAATAAGGTATTTAATACAATGACAACAAAATAAATATTGAGCAATCAATTTATAGGAATATGTAGTCAACATGCTGAAACAATTATATGGCATATGAATAACTCAAATTATTGAGAAGCAAATTAATACAACAAAAAAGAAAAAAGAAATGGACAAACAACATCTATAATTTTACAAAGAGAATTTAAAGATAAGGAAACAATAAACATAGATTTTTAATAATTCAAATATGATAAATTCTTCGAAAATATCAAGGGAAACTTTAAATTATGTGACAAACTTCTTAATCGGTGGAAATCCAAAAAAAAAAAAAATCAGCGTATGCTTTAAGACCAAGAATTACATTCGAAAATTATCTATATTTACCCGATAAAAAGATAATCTAAAATTAAAAAGTAGTTAAAAATTTTAGAAGATGAGAATTAGAGCATAATATATATGCGGCAATTATAAAGTTAAGTAAGAAAGATACTGTACATATACGGAATAAAATATATTATCTTCCGAATGTAAAGAATAATTGCTGACAAAATTCAAAACTTCACGTATTTGGTTCGCTATATGCATATACTGAACTTCCATAGAAAAAAGTTATACGGCAAAGAATCATGCTAGCTTTGCTCCTACTTCCACTTAGTTATTCTTCTAATATAATTTAGCTATGTTTTCCTCCATATTGCGTCTTTAGCGGTATATCCATGTAGATATATAGAGATAATCGAGCAATTATCTGATTCTTAATTTTGGCAAATAAAAGGTATTTCTTCTTACTAATTCTTTTTTGATAGGAAAATAATTGTGTTATGTTAATAGATTTTCCTTAACAATCAAGTTACCATACAATGATCCAAATGGATTATTTACAGAAATTTGAATTGTATTCTTTCGTCTATAATTATTTAGTGAAAGCTTTAGTTTAAAAATATTATTTTATACTACATAGCTCGAAATACACGTGCAACACACGTGTAGAGAGACTAGTATATATANTATATATATATATATATATATATATATATATATATATATATATATATATATATATATATATATATATATATATATATATATATATATATATCCAGAATTAGATTGTTGGGCTCTAGGTCTAAGAAGGTTTTTTGGACTCCACAACCTATGTATATCTTTGATTGATGAATGATAGCGTAGCTTTTTTGAATTTCTTGGTTTGTTTTTTTCTTTTTGCATGAATTACTTTTCCTCAATGTCGACGTATTTTGGCTTCAATTATGAAATTTATTTGAATAAGGTATTTAATACAATGACAACAAAATAAATATTGAGCAATCAGTTTCTAGGAATATGTAGTCAACATGCTGAAACTAATATATGGCATATGAATAACTCAAATTATTGAGAAGCCAAATTAATAGAAAAAAAAAAAGAAAAAACACAAACAACATCTAGAATTTTACAAAGAGAATTTAAAGATAAGGAAACAATAAATTAACATAGATTTTAAATAATTCAACTATGATAAACTTCGAAAATATCAAGGGTTTAAATTATGTGACAAGCTTCTTAATCGATGGAAATCCAAACAAAAAATTCAGCATATGCTTTAACAACCAAGAATTACATTCGAAAATTATCTATATTTACCCTGATAAAAAGATAATCTAAATTTAAAAAGTAGTTAAAAATTATAGAAGATGAGAATTAGATCATAATATATATGCGGCAATTTTAAAGTTAAATAAGAAAGATAATGTACATATATGGAATAAATCATATTATCTTCCGAATGTAAAGAATAATTGCTGACAAATTTCAAAACTTCACGTATTTGGTTCGCTATATGCATATACTGAACTTCCATAGAAAAAAGTTATACGGCAAAGAATCATGCTAGCTTTGCTCCTACTTCCACTTAGTTATTCTTCTAATATAATTTAGCTATGTTTTCCTCCATATTGCTTCCTTTAGCGGTATATCCATGTAGATGTATAGAGATAATCGATCTAGATGTTTAATAGTACACTATGAAGGTTATATACTTCACAAAATAGTTAATGTCGAAAGGAAGAGGATCCCAGGAAATTTATTCGAATCTAATTCTTTGGAAATTTTCTATTCCAATCAACAGCCTCTTACCAGGTGATACTGAGGAGGGCCGGACCCTTTTTTTATTTGTTTCTCTCTTTACTGTTCAAAGAAGAGGTGGTTTTATTAAGTGTATGCGCACTTTGTATGAGAAAGAAAGGATATAAACATAATGGTTGTTAAGCTATTTGGATTAGTCTTTTTATATTTGACCTTTGATATTACTCTACAGCAGCAACATCTCCACTTTACAGTATTTTTAATTAAATTGTTTGGATAGTTTTTTGTACGAAAATAATTGTGTTCTGTTAATAGATTTTCCTTAACAATCAAGTTACCATACAATGATCCAAATCGATTATCTACAGAAATTTGTATTGTATTGTTTCGTCTATAATTATTTAATCAAAGCTTTAGTTTAAAAATATTATTTTACAAAATTTTATACTACATAGATCGCACGTGTAGAGAGACTAGTGTAGATAAATCGAGGAGGGCTTCGTACAAAGCCAAACATATGTATTGATGACCCCAAGCCAAGATCGAGGAAAAAACATGTAGATGATCCTCAACGTGGTGAATTTCCGGTATGTGTTACTCGTCCAATAAAAGTGTTGCTTATGATATAGATGTAATTTTGGAAGTAAGAATTGATCTTCTGACGACAGTTAAAATACAGGTTGTCTTTAGGAGAAAAAGAAACTAAAAATAAATCCAAAATCGAGTTCCCTGGCCGATATAGCTTATTTTAATTCAGCGTCTGCTACAACCGGGGCGCAGGAGTAACAGGTTAAGAGCATATGTCCAGGGTATTCTAGTTTATTAAAAAATGGGTTGGATAATGAACTTTTTAAAAATGGGTCAAATATGGATAAGAACCATATTATCTATTTAGAAAATGGATAACCAATGGATAACTAATGGGTTTAACTTTTACATTTGTAAACCCTCAAATTGGGGGTTCCTCAAGTGTGGGAAATTAGGGATTCTCCCAAAAGTGATCATATTCAAGAAGTCATGGATAATATGGTTACCCATAGTATACGTCGGTTAACCCATTTTTTATCCGTATTAAATATGGGTCAGGTCAGATAATTGATCCGTTTTTTCATTACCCATTTTCGACCCGAACCATATCCAACCCGACCCGCCCGTTTGCCACTCCTACTGGCTGCTTTCTCGGCTTGAACTCGTGACTTATAGGTCACACAGAGACAATTTTACCGTTCATTCATGGCTTCCCGTCATATATGGTTAATGTTAAGTAAAAAAAAAAAGTCCGATGTAACTTCAAATTAGATCATGCAATATGGGATAAGATGTATTAATAATGAAGAAAACATGCAGAATTATAAGAGAATATATTCTAGTAGGAACCCTAACCTGAATTAGTTAATGTGACATGTTGATTCGCTAGTTCTAGCAATTACAAATTTGTTTTTCTGATACACAGAGGGAGTCGTATTAATTTATTTTTTTTAAAAAGCTAATACAAAGTGTAATTATTAACTACTACAAAAATTGACATGAACGGTGATTAATTTTGAGGTCGACAGTCAAATCCATGAGGTCGAAAAGCTAAGAAGTTATATAAATACTTCAAATCCGTAAGATCTTGGTGGTAGCACCATATACTTCAAATCCGTAAGATCTTGGTGGTAGCACCATAAACTGTCGATAATACACTGTTCAATATATCTCAAAACTAAAATGAGCATAGGAGTTGGTTTAACATCTTTTGAGCTTTGAGTATATATAGCAATTTGGTAAAACTTTTGTGGCACCGATTTATATCATTACAACTTACCATACAATATAATTGTTGGCACTGAGAGAGAAAAGTACTGGATTTCTCTTTGAACATTTGGATTTTTGCATTATTTTCTACAAACCCTTTGGCCTTTTTTCAAAATGTTGTTTATTACAGATAACTTTAAACATATTGGTCATTTTCCATTCACAGACTATTGGTTTATTTTGTAGTAATACTTACGCTAGCAAGGATGAAAAGATAGTGTTTCCAAAAGGGCAGAAAAAATCTTTGTAGTCAATTCATGTTCCCAAACTTCCAAATCCCACCATCTCATGATCTCCCACACCCACCAAATCATACTAGTAGTTTTCTAATTTGGAGTTCAGGAATGGCAGAGATAACAGATATTACAGTCAGTAATGCAACAGTTTTAGATATCCAAGACCATAATGTACATCATATTCTTTCTTGTCCAAGTTTGGCATCCAAGAAACATGATGACGCCTCCTCACTTTCCTCAGGCTGCTCTAAAAATATAAGCTTTATTCAAAAGGTGATCAATTCACTCTCCCAACTCTTTGATGCTTCATGTAACTAGTTTTCATTCTACCAAAGGACTTTAAATCTTGAAAAATGAAGATGTCTTATCTCATTTAACTTACATCTACTTGTCTATGAGTTGCGCACAATGGCGTAAGTACTCGGCACAGGTTTAGTGTTTGAGAAAGAAACTCTGTTAGGTGTGCGAATAAAACCTCACAGTAAAATAAGAAAAACGAGCTAAACTGTATAATATAAGGTAGTGAGATTTTTTGGAGTCATCAAGAGACTATCAGTCCATGTAACATCACAAGCATACAGACATAGGATATGGAGCCGGTTGATCAACAATTTTTTGTTTTCAATGCAGCTAATGGCAGAGCTTCTAGGCACCTACTTAATAATGTTTGATGGTTTTGCTGTAATGGTGGTGAATAAGAACATGGGTCTTCTTGGGATAGCAGTTTTGTGGGGATTAGATGTGATGATTATGATCTACACTGTTGGGCATGTTTCTGGTGCCCATTTTAACCCTGCTATCACAATTGCTTTTGCTACATCTAAGAGGATTGCATGGAGACAAGTAAGTTTCTCCATTAATCTCAGTTACAACAGGCATGAGCAAGAAAGGATAAACACCATCAAAAAATGTTTCAGGGATGTTTCAGTTCACTTTTTGGGCTACTTCTGTTTTCAGGTTCCGGCATATATATTATCACAAGTCGTGGGTGCAACTCTAGCAACTAGCACTGTGAACTTAATGTTCAAGGAAGAGCAACCTCAGTTTCTGGGAACAATTCCAGCTGGCTCAGATTTGCAGTCTCTTGGATTAGAATTCTTGATCACTTTCCACCTCATGATTGCTGTTGCAGGCATTGCAACGGATAATCGAGCTGTTAGTACCACTGCTTTTTTAGCGTCTTGATTATTACTTCAAATGTTAAGCTCTTAGGACTTCAGAATTTCACTTATTTTATCCTTCTCTCTGTTTACTGGGGCAGGTTGGAGAGCTCACTGGACTTGTCATTGGAGCTGTAGTCACAATTAACTCCATTGTTGCCGGGTATGCTAAATAGATATCTTCCGGTTTCCACTTACTCTGAACACATTTCAGAATGCATTTCTAAAGCTATCACATTTGGAAATAAAATGCTCTCGGAAGTGTTTGACAACCAAAACCATTTCACTTAAAGAAATTGCCATAATGTCTTGGAGAGTTTTAAAAAGTATGTTTTCCTAAAATAGCTTCAGGAAATAAACAGGAACAACTCAAAGTGGAGGAATACTACAGATTATCATCAATAATAGGAAGTTAAAACTAAGTGGAAAGCTACCTGTACAAACTGTGGAATGGACCTATATAAGAACACGATTTTAGAAAAATAAGAGTACAATGCCAACCCTCACAGATGAGTACGAGTAACAGTTTCTAGTTGTTCTTTTTGGAATCATCCCTCTTTCATTCTACATATTTGCCTAACTGGGCATATTTGGCTATTGTGATGTACAGGACTACTTCAGGGGCATCAATGAATCCCGTAAGAAGTTTGGGACCAGCAATTGTATCAAATTGTTACGAGAAACTATGGTTATACATGTTGGGTCCAATAGCAGGAGCTACAACTGGTATCTGGTTCTACAATGCCATGAGGTTTACAATTAAGCCCTCTGATGAAGTCACTAAGTTTCTTCCCTTCCTCCGAAGATTAGCCCAAAACAAAGTTTAAATGACAAATACTACTGCCCCGGTATGGTTGATTAACCACTTGTCAGACCCAAGCTTATGTGTTTCAGAACAGAAGATCATCCCAAAATAAAGCTTAATGAAAAAACTACTGTTCTGGTCCTCAATGCAAGTTCATTAGAAGATAGACCCCATTTGGCTGCTACCATATATAATATCTCTGAATTTCCCTTACTGTTTAGCAAATCTTTAGATATATTCTTCCACTGAGGCTCTCCACGAAGCATTTTTGAGGTAAAGCATTTTGAGGTTTTACCAGAAGAAAGTACTTTAATGAGCATGGTAAAGCGGTAGCTTCATAAGCACGCTAAATTTCCTCGAACTCTGTCCATATAGGAAATGACTATATCACCAATGTTTCTAGAAGATGCTTACAGGAAACTTTTAGGAAATGGAAAGTACCTAATCTAACATTTGTAAACTTCAGGAGCACGATGTTATACTTGTCAAAGAAAAATGTTGACTTGAAAAGTATATTTTCATAGAATTACTTGAAAAGCAAAAACCAGTCACTATGCGTACATGTCGACATAGGTTCCAATCGGGGAAAGAATCAACAGACACCTACCAGTTATGTACAATTAAAAGAGAAATGAAAGCATAATTTTAAGGGATCAAACCAGAAGCTTTTCGACTACCTTTCAGTTGGTGGGTTGTTCGGTGAACCCGCACGACTGTTTGAATCATGCCTCAGTCTTAGTCTTGGAATGATAAGAGGTTTGCAGCAAAGAAGAGCGAAAAGAAATTCCATGGTAAACAACATCATGCTAACCCACACAAATAATGTTGTCTTCCAATACCATAGCATTCTTTTCAGAAAAGGAAGTTCAGATTCCAGTGTTAAAGAGGCAGCATACATTTCAGGAACTCCACCTCCAGCTTGGAACTCAGCTCGTTGCTCAATGATCACCCTCAAGCATGCCGTTGGAACGAAACCTTCAGAGAAACCCTTTAAGTATACCTTCAACTTTTGGGATTCTGATGTATATCCGGTGACAAGAGGAGCAGCCTTAAGGAAAGTAGAGAAAAGGCGTATAGGATTGCTTTTGAATTGCAACATACAGGGTCGCCTGGAGCTCGCTAGCACTTTACCATTAGCAGTGAGGAAATCCACCCTCACCTTCAAGGTAAGAAACAAAAAAGTTACTAATCCATTAAGGTAAGACATCAGATGTAGAAATGCATAGCAGACCACCAATTCATTCAGTTCAAGAATTTGGGTCAACAATGTAAACCTCAACTTTGTATTCCTAAAATAGGCGGTAGGCTTGAAGTTCTACCAGGAATGAATCAATGAAATTAATCATACCAAGTCCTTCAATCCATACACAAAGAAATGTACAAAGTGAAACTATAAGGGCAGGTGCAGACATGTTAAATTGGGAGAAGTTTTATTTTGTGCCTCATACAACTGACACTAGTTGTATGAGGCTCCTTTTTGTCACACAAATTTGTGGACCCCAATTTTATACTTCTGGGTCCACAGAAATCTGGGTCCACAAAACTGTGAGACAAAAAGGTTGCCTCATACAACTAGTTTTAGTTGTATGAGACACAAAATAAAATTTTCCTTAAATTGGTAACAGGAGAAAGAAATTAATGTCAAATCAAGCTGGCACGGAATGTCAAATCAAGCTGGCACGGACACCACATACCCCCAAAAAATTATGTCAAATCATTAGGAGACAAACATTTCATTCTTACAAATATCTCCCTTCCCCCAGCCCCAGGGTCTCCCATCTCTTTTTTATTATGCAGATTTTTCGAAATGTATGTGCATTGAAAAATTCTCTAGCTTAAAAACCTAAGCCATGTAATACACAAACCAGATACACAGCCGGCAAAACAGATGTCTAAAGCTTATTTAAACTCAAACTTCTCTCTTTGTGTGCATTAATTAAACTAATCTGGAAGATAATTATAATCAGTTTGCAACAGCAAAACCATGCCTAGAAACTTATCCGCAATCTAAATTTATAACATATCTCTATCCTCGCAGAAAACACAGGACAACGTAACAAATATGGCATAAATGTACTCCAGGCAACTTGCATAGCTATTTGGACTACTTCTTAGGCATAAACTGAAGCAACAACTTGATAATCAGGTCAACAAACCCATGTTGATGAACACTTAACAAGAAGAAGTTCCAATCACCGTTGTTCTGTATCTAGCAGAAAAATTACATAGAGTATCAACCACAAAAGTCTCTGGCGTATATACCTGAAAAACGCCCAGATTTCGGTTGTAATCAGACTCCGGCAACGTTAATGAAACAGTAACCTGCAACTGATGATTAGGTGGGATAACTCGCACCCCATCAACCATCCCAACCTCCACTTGATCCTTACTACCTACACCACAGGTCACACCTGGACTCCTTATTACAGGCACATATGCAACTGGGCTTTTTGCTGTATAATCAAAATTCAAGGGCTCGTTCATCCTGATCGGCTCTTCCACCATAATTCTCATCAAGATGCCACCCATTATAAAAGCCGATACCAGCAATCCAACCAAAACAACACATACATACACAGACCACAAACATCCCCATCCGAGTTTCAACCCCAACTTCCACACTGACCTCTGCTCCTTCAACCATTCAAACACAAATCCAAAACTCCTCATAAACTTGTGCATCACATATCTTTTTCCACGCCTCATTATTTGAAACGGATCCATCACAAACATATACGTGCTATAAATTACCCATACAGGAAACGAAAACAACTTTATCATCAAACTCACAAAAGTAATCAACATATTCACTTGAAAGCCAACAGCTTTTATCACTAAATTGGCTAAATCAAACAAAATATTCGAACTTGAATCATCACTTCCTCTCAAATGCGAATCAACTATCTCCGAATTATCTATTCCGTCATTGTTCACATCCGTAATTACAGAATCCTCTTTCAACATTAAATGATCATCGTTTGAATTACCTATTACTACACTATTCGCATTCATAACCGTCGAAATCTCCTTATTTTCTTCATCAACACTACTTTTTTGTCTACCTCTGCTCAAATCAAGCTGCATTGAGTTCGAATTTTCTATATAATTCAAACTTCCATTTTTATCCTTCTCCATTGACATAAGCTTTCTCTCTTTAGAATTCAAATAACTCTCAGGACTTACCGAAGGTCTAAACTTAGCCGAATCGTTACCAGAATCACGGTAAGAAAGAGGTCGCCGGCGCCGGAGAGACGACGACGGAAAATCTTCATTTTTCGGTGATCGATTAAGGTTTATGACAGCCTCCGATCCGCCAGTTTCCGCGTCGGAAAAGCTGTCGTTGCAATCGTCGAAGGGAAATTCCTCTGGCGCATCGTCGAATAGGTCTCCGTTGTTGGCTTGCTTGTTTGGTTTTGTATCTTCCATAACCTACACGAACAAATGCATTACAAATACGCAGCGAATACGTATATACGATTCTACGATTGTGGAGCGTACGTATTTTGGAGCGCGAAAGAGGAGCTGAAATCAGGGTTCAGTTTGATGAAGAAGAAGAAGAAAAGGAAATGAAATTTTGAACAGGAAAAGGAAAAAGGAAATTGATACTTGCAAGAAAACAAACTAATTTGCTGATGCACAGGTTGTACATTTAGCTTAAATATCTGTACATTGATCAATAACGGATAACGAGCATAAAATGGGTGAAGGTAAACCGCCAAACGGCTCTCTTCTGTGTGGAATTCACTTGAGATGGTGTAATTCTTAATTTTGAGTTGTACAATACTTGAAAAGAAAAAGTTATGCAATACATTTGCGAAGAAGATGTTACTTTAACTCAATTATTCAATTAGAAAATACCTTATCAGGCTGAGGGTGGGTTTGTTGTTGCTGCTTATCACAAGATGAATAAATATTTCTTTTTGTCTTACAAAAGATAATCGTTGTTATTGGTTTTAAAATGTTACTTAACTAATTGTTGGATAGTAGAAACCGGTTTACCTCCTTAATAAACTAACTCACCGTCAATTTAGATTAGTAGGGCTATCTCTAAAAAAGCACTACATTCCCAGACGTTATGTTGTACTCCCTCCGTTCACTTTTATTTGTTCACTAAGGACTTTATACATCTCTTTAAGAAATAATAAATGAAGTGCATAATTTACTATGATACTTATATTAATTGATGAATATTTTTAATGAATTTGAAAAAATAATTTGAAATGAGTAATTAATACTATGGTATAATAAGAAGAAAAAATCATCTTTCTCTTGATATGTTAAAAGTGACAAGTAAACTAAAAATTTATTTTTAGAATACTGAACCAATAAAAGTGAACGGAAGGAGTATCATGTTTCACTATTGCTTGAGTTGGTGCCCCTAATTTAGAGGAAATAGACGACTTGGACCGTCCACTTAGGAATCCGTACGTGCTTACCGACTCGGAATTTGGGGAGGTAATTAAGACTGGGGTATGGGTGAAGCAAGACACCATCGTTTGTTGAATCTAAACATGCACAAGTAATGATTCATTTTCAACTGAATGCATGACTTAAATGTTTCATCTTTTTTCTTTTAACTCAATTGAATAATGAGTATAAGGCACTGAAATCAAATAATATTAAAATTCAAGCAATTACAAGATAAGAATTAAATGAAATCAGAGATTTTAGCTCTTCATTATCTGTAGCCAAAAGAGCAATATTTTGTCACCGCCACAATTACATCTAATCCAAAATATTACAAGTTTGCTGCATTACAACTTTTATTACAAAACATGGCAAAAGCCCAATTAAGATACAGATCTCAAATCTAGTACTGCTTGATTTGATGAAAACATCTTTTCAGATATCTGGTTTAAATCTGTTCCAACAAATACAGCAGATGAAGTCGCTAATCCATTGGTACTCATTATCGTTACTTCTTTTTATAGAGCTCCGCAACAAACTATAAACTACCTTAGATTTGCATGACGAGTGAATTGCTCAATATTTATTCTTTTACGAATAAAAATGGGATCCACATATGGTATCATCTTGAGTTTGATATTTGCCTTGCTTCTATGTCCTGTAGTCTGAGGGTAACAGCCCTCTTGTGGGCATCCAAACCCTCAACTTCGGCCATTTTCTCCACATAGGGGCCAAGATTCCTCAGCCCTTCTTCTGTTAAAGACTGCACAGTAATGTATTTCAAGAAAGAGTCTAAAGAGACCCCACCATACATCCGTGCATACCCGTAAGTTGGCAGAACATGGTTAGTTCCACTTGCATAATCTCCTACACTCTCAGGTGTCCACTGTCCCATAAATACAGAACCTGCAAGTATTCAGAGTTGATTATTTATAAGTTAGATTGCCAAAGGGAGACATGATTGATTAGTAAGTTGCTATTGATGGTAAAATATGAACCTCCAACCTAACTTTCCTGGTACCCATATCAACACAGAAGACATCAGAAATAACACATGAACATGCATATTTTTGAGCTGTATACTAAAGAGCCCAAGTCGGGACAAACATTAGACAGCTTCCACAAGTCGGACAAACCACTTTGACAAAGACAACAACAACCCAGTGGAATCCCACAAGTGGGGTCTGGGGATTGTAATGTGTACACAGACCTTACCCCTACCCTGGAGGGCAGAGAGGCAACTTTGACAAAGAAGTTCTGGAAAAAGCAATTGTCACCACTGATCAACACAAGTATTTGGTGCTTGACAGTGTGTCAACGTCGCAAGGGGGACAAACAAAGTTACACAAATAGACACACACACAACACAGATCGAAAGGCCAATAATTCAACATTCATCATACCCTCTTCAAGTTTCTGAAATTTCTCTTGATATTTTGAGATTGTTCTCCAGTTTTTACAACAATGAACAAACAGTTGAGTTTATAGTAAATGAGTTTTGCTTAAGTTTACTTGCTAAGTCTGTCTTTTTTCTATTTTCTTTTTTCTTTTTTGAAATGGAAATCCGTCACTTTTTACTTAGCATCGTCCAATCTCTCAAGAGTTGCAATATAGGTGTGTCTCTGTTCGAAAAAACAGGCTCTCTCCATAAAATACAGTTTCAGCCAACTGTAAGCCATATAAAAAAAGCCTTCTTTCTGATGTAGTTAGGTTATTAGTGTGTAGAAGTTGAGTACTGCAGGGAGTTATCTTTTTTTGCCTTATCTACGATATTGTAAATCAGATTACAAGCCCAGAAGTAAAAATAAATGTCATGTCTATCATAAGAACCATGTGACAAATGGAGCCAGCAGTTCCAGCCACCATCAGTAGTGAATTTCTTTTAGAGCTTATCTGAGGAACCCAAGCGGACTAAAATAACCATGCCAAAGAAAAAAAAAAGGCTAGTCAACTACGCCATCTAATAGAAATGACGGTGTATTCAACTCCCTACCGAGAAAGGAGATGGCATAGATCACTAGTGAAGAAACTTGTCCGCCTTGCCATTGGCCAGCCAACCTGACCCTTCTATTTGACACCTTGAAGAGCTAAATCATAGAGTTTGAAGGAATAAAAGGGAAAAAACTATCAACCTTATACAGTCTAGAGCTGAGATAACAATAACATTACGTGTTCAATACACACACATCCTTAAACCACAAAAATTAGGCATAGAGATTAAAGATGTCAATAGATAAAAAAAAACACCACAAGACTAATGTATTAACCAGCTGGATGGTGAATGCAAGGAAAAAATAGAAAATGAAACAGAAATCTGTGGTAAAAATGCTGTTAAATTGTACCGAGGGTCTCCCGGAAACAGCCTCTCTACCCTCAGGGGTAGGGGTAAGGTCTGCATAAACTCTACCCTCCCCAGACCCCACTAGTGGGATTATTACTGGGTTGCTGTTGTTGTTGTTGCTGTTAAATTGTATGGAGAAGTTGTGTTATATGGAGGATCACGAAGGGCAGGACAGAAAACTCACTCAAAGGAATTTAAAGATAAGAAGAATAAAGATGAACATATTACCCACTGTATATCACACATTAACATTGCTAAAATAGAGAGAAGCTTGAGGAAAATATTTCATGGATACATCACAATCGGCGACCTCAATAGCCAAAACAAACTAACAGAAGAGTAGATATGCCAAATGGAAAAGTAAGGTAAAACTTAGCAAGCACTTAAAGTACCTGCATTCTCAATTAAACTTTCCCACTTCTCAGCTTCATTCACATTGATTATCAGATGCTCAGGTGCATACATGTTTGAGAAGGAAATTGCCTGAAAAAGATTGTGATTCAAGTCCACGAGATAAAGCCTATAGCTGACAGAGAAATTTACAAGGAAATTGCACCCACATTGATGATAATTCAATTTTTTTAAATATGTTTCAGGAAGAATTATATAATGATAGCAAGCACACATTCAACTGTATGCAAATTACTGCCAGCCAAGACCGACAAACATACCTCAAGCATATCCTGTGCTAACACAGTGAAGCTGTGGCTAAGTGCCTGAAGTGCAAATTCTCCCCTTGGAAGGGCTTGGCACTGCTTCCTAATTTCCTCTTGAATAGCATTTAGATCAACACCATCCCCAGCAATAACCAGTACGACTTGGCTATCTGGCCCATGCTCTGCCTGAAAATTGCATTTGAGGTGATAAGCTTTTGCCATGAACGATAGGAATTATTGAAAGTTTCAGTTCAATCTGTGTTAACAGTTAATCTCCTTCACTGCAAAATCCACCAATCTTCTTATTTTGATATCCGAAGAGACATAAGCACTACTAATGTGAAATAAAAAGAGCACCAGATTCAGACACAGGATGAAGGGAGGAAAACATAATCAAGCAGCGAAAAGTGGAGCTAATACCTGTGAAAGTAAATCTGCTGCCACATGGACAGGACTGGAATGCTTGTCAGCTATAACAAGGACTTCTGAAGGCCCAGCTGGCATGTCGATTGAAACCATAGCTTCGCTGTTCTGTTGAGAGAGAGTACTATTGAGCAAAAGACAACTGGAGGTGAGGAGAATAGACTTTTGGCAGAGTATTTGTTTCAAGTGAAATTTATTTACAATTCTGATATCCCTAACCTAAGATTGCCTCTTACTTGAAACCAATACCTGCAGAATCATTTTTGCAGCGGTGACATACTGGTTCCCAGGCCCATATATCTTCTCAACCTGGCATAGATGGTAATGTACATAATGCTTCCCCTTTATATTATTATCAAAATAAGAAAAGGAGAGTTCGACTGTAAAATGCATGCCATGTTAAGGAAAACAGAAATCCAAAGGCCAATATGAAAGGAAACCCACTTCATTAAGATATCTACAAGTTAACCACAGGTTTCAAGGACACCCAGGGTAGTAGCCTTACAGATGTACAAGGAACAGATACAATGTGTCTGCTAAAACATGCCATAATTACTTTCCTGAGTACGAAAAATAGCCAGTGTAACAATAAGGATCAACTTTCACTGTACACAGGGGAATCTTCCTTGATATATATTCTGATTAGTGATTGCAATCATATCACAAAACTTCTTTTTTTATAAAAAAGAAACTAAGTCCATGTAATCATGTCTTCCTCGTCGTTCTCTTCTATGTATTGATATATGTTTTCTATAGAAAATCTTTGACGTCTTCCTATTCACAGTCCTATTTGGCCCTCCTAACCAAGAGATCTCCAGTGAGTTATCCAACCCAACTCCAATAGGGCTCACAGGTTTGAAAACAAGGGAAGTATAAACTCATCCCTACACCCTGCTTGTACCGAAATACCAGACTTCAGTCAACAGAATGGTTCGAACTCGTGACGTGCACCTAACCCACACTTCATAATTGTGTACCAAATGCCTGAAGCGAGATTGGTTCCTTTAGGAATAACAATTCAGCACATGCCTATTTAATCAAAGCTCGTGCTTCGATTACCGTTCCTGCCTAGACATCAATGTCCCTATTTCAAGCAATAGCAAAGACATCGTGTTTTAAAGGAAATATGAACTGATGAAAAGGATGCATAGATTCTTTTCCATCAACCCTTGTCCAATTATTAAAGTTATACTTTTTGCATGAATAAAACAACTATTGCCCAATCCTAAACTAATTAGATCATCTATATGAAGGTTCACTATTCGTGTGTCATTGCAAGAATACTCTAGAAATATTACATGCACGTCTACTCCAGGATTAATTGCCTGAAAGTACTCATGTTAATAACATTTATTCTGTGTTGCGTGCATAAGCTCAGCAAAGCAATAGAAGTATACCAGTGCTTGTATGATACAATATGCAAGGCTTCAATTTTTAAGGTGAAAGTTGTACCTTTGGGCAGGATTCAGTGCCCCAGGCCATAGCAGAAATTGCCTGTGGATTTTAAAAAGGTTACAGTAAATGGACCTTAAAAAGTTTAAGTTCGGAAAAAGAAGTAAGAAATTAAGTAAATATATCAAATGCAACGTCCGCTCATGAACACAAGACCAATGAAGCATATCATCTTATACCTGAGCACCTCCAGCTTTAAGGATGTGGGTCACACCTGCTTTCTTGGCACAATAAAGCACTTCCTACAAGAAATGCGTCCAAGTAAATGGACATTGATACTTAAACTTATACCAACAAAGTAAGATGGTAAACAAATACCTTGCAAATGCTGCCATCCCGAGAAGGTGGAGTTGCAAGTACAACAGTTTTACACCCAGCAATTTGTGCTGGCTGGCCAAAAGGAAAAAATGATGATTACTCAGGGAATTAGCATTGGAAGAAATGATTAGTGAGAGCAAGAAATTAACATGGAAAATTGAATCACCATACAACTGAAAGCATCAGAGCTGTTGAAGGTAAAACAGCAGTTCCACCGGGAACATAAAGCCCTACAGAGGCAATGCTCCTAGCCACACGCTTACATCTTACACCCTGGCAAAGTAAGAAATATGAAAGTTCAATGAAGTAAGAGTGCCAACACAATGCTGCTATACAAGCCCACACAACTGAGATCAAACCTATACAATATCCACAACTTACATGCATGTTCTCCACAACTTTCTCAACAGGCTTTTGAGCAGCATGAAAGGCATGTATGTTGTTATATGCCACATCAAATGCTTCTCGAACAGCTGAATCAAGCTGAGTCAAAGGAAGAATTAGTCAGATTGGAAATAAGAAAAACCGAAGTCAATTTTCTTTCAAGAAAAAAATTTAAAAGAAAGGAATACGAAAGGGGACAAAAAATCCTAAACACAATTCAAACTACTCTCTTTAATCCCCATCGATCGCATCAATATGGAAAATTATGTATCTAATACATACCTCAGGATCTGGAAGCTCATTGACATCTTCAACTATCTTATCCAGTACAACTTTGTCGAACCGTGAAGTGTAACTGCCCAGGAAGTTATAGATATCATATCAAAGTAACATCAAGACAAAAGGACAGGTTAACTTTTCTACAGTGGCGTCTTTTACTTTCGAATGGAACTATTAACTCTTAAAGAATGATAAGTGATGAATAAGGAATAAAAAAACTGAAGATTTTCGTAGGTTCTATAACTATTTAATCTAAACTTAGGGATATTATGATGGCTTGAAAGTTTGAACTTAGTTTGACCAGAAAAGCTAAAAAATGGCAACTAAAGTTGATAAGAATCAATACAGAGAGTAAAAACAAGCTGCAAAAGCACAGTAGCAACCTTCATCTTTGGTCGAAACTGAAATTATTAGCTTTAATTAATGAACTTATATTTAAAAAGTTGACACACCAGGAAGTAGTTTGAAATGTTGGTCCAGGGTTTCCTAAAGGAACTAAAAAGGGAGAGAGAGTATTGATAATAGGCAATACAGAATCATTAAGTTTTGATACTTTATGTTTAGGCTTATAGTTGAAAAGACACAAAGGTCACCAAGTTGGATCTGCTAAATGGAACCTTGTCGCTTCTTTTCGCTTTTCGCTTTTAAGAGGAGTTGACCAGAGATTGAAATTACGAGCATAATAAAGCTCATCTTTATGTCACTTATTTAGATCATTTTGGCTCATCCAACAGGAATGAGGACACACAACATAATAGAGATGTCCTTTACATCACTCATTAATATTATACAAATTGTTTATAGTTTGACAGTGCAGCACCTCCAGATGGAGCATTTCTTTGGTATTTGCTGAGGATCAATAACACATGTTCGGCATTATTTTGTTTTTCTCCTTAAAGCATTAAAGGTGAACACATGTTTTGCATTCTTATGGAAAGTGAACCTGAAATTAAGGGGATTTTCACATAACAGATGCAGGATAATATTTGTTGATGAAACAAACACAGTCACTAAGGGATAAATATAAAACAAGCACTAACTCTTTAACTGCAGCATCACCTCTATTACGAACATCATCAACAATGGGTTGAACCTGATACAATTAATTCAACAATCACAGCAAGTCTACTAAATTGAACCGTAAATAAATAAGTAATTTGAAGGAAAAAATATAAAATCAGTTCACGAAGCATTGTTAACTCACTGTGCTGAAAATGGAGGAGAAATCAATGCGGGGACGAGCTTTGAGGCTGTCAACCTCAGAAGCTGAAAGCTCTGATAACCTATAGGACTTCATTGAGCACCTAATTGACTTACGAAATAACCCTGTCAATAACGATCAAAAACAACATGACACATTACCCAACAGTAAAATCTCTATAAAGACACATTTAATTTAAAGTATGGCACTTTCTGATGGTTTTCACCAATAAGAACAACTACAAGCAATTGACAACAAAAAAATCATGTGTGAAATGCTACATAACAATTTCTTTAGTCTATTAACTTACTGCAAAAGAAGGAACTGCTGAAAGTAATACCTGCAGGCAGATAAGAACATTTCCGATAAAATACAGTATTGCGTGTAGGAATGGCCCGAAGATTACTAGCCAAGCTACAGGACCTATTCAATGATAGAATTCTGCAGTCCATCTATATTCTGACAACAAACTAAAATTAGACTCTTCTCTCAAATAAATCAGTAATCTTGGTACATTAAAAGGTTATATCTTTTGTAAGACAATGTATTAAAATAAATTCAATATTAGAGTCTAGCTCTAATAAACAATAATATATGTAGAGTATTATCTTCTAATAGAGACAATGTGTTTACATTCACTCAAGTGCCCGTCTGGATAAAGCAGATCGAATTATATAAAATTTAGAAACCCTTATAACACATGCTAAAATTCAATCTTTTCGGGCGCTTATTCTTTTCTTTTTGGGTGAAGAGAAATGCCTAACAAAACTTTTAAGACAAATGTTGAAGACGAAAAAGAAAAAGAAGTATGATTTTATAACGTACAAGTAGAAGACGTCGCCGGAGAAAGAGATGGAGCGGAGCAGAGTCGCCGGTGGCGGCGGAGTGAGTGGATTTCGATACGAATTAAAATGGAAGAGATTGGAGCTCTTGTACAAGGCGCTTGAAATGTTGCACTTGGAAGTTAGGGGTCGGCTGATTAGTCAACAAGTTTACTTCTTGCAATTGATCCACTTAATTAGCTTTATTAATAAATTAACCCATTGTAAATTTTACTTCTTTCATTTTAGACCCTAGGCCCTTGCTCACGTCTTTGAGCTACATTGCGTATTGAGCTTCGCCCATTTCATAGGCTTATGAATGAAAATCTCGTCTTTATTTTACTTTGGCTTCTTAGCTTAGCATAGCGAGTCTGAAGAAGGATAGGGCTAGGCCTAAGAATCATCAGGGTGCAGTAATTAGGTAGAACATGTTTCTATTTCAACTTTTATATGTCTAAGAAGGTAGGTGGAGATCATTTGTGTATCACCTTGGTGTAAATTATTGATGATGAGTGTTAATGGATAGTTAGCTTATGCGAGGTATCTAGATGTCATCCTTTTTAGATAAGTTTGTAGGTTGGGGTTGTTTCCGTGAATGTGTTATGGAAATCATATAAGTATAAGAGGCCACATTGAAGGCCGAGAGTATTGTGGAAATAAGGTATTTTCTCTCGATTGTATCGCAGTTGGTTTTGACTTGGAAAGAGTACCTTATGAGTGTTATGATCTAAAATTGTGCAGTCCATGTTCAGGTGTCNTAGAGTTTATGGTTGGTGACAAGGTATTTTTGAAAGTTTCACCAATGAAAGGAGTTATGCGGTTTGGTAAGAAAGGGAAACTTAGTCCTAGATTTATCGGACATTATGAAATTCTACAAAAGAAAGGAAACGTGGCTTATGAGCTAGCGCTTCCCATTAAGTTATCCTCTGTTCATCCTGTCTTTCATGTGTCTATGCTTAGAAAGTACATTCCTGATGAGTCGCATATAGTACCTGCCAATTCGATAGAAATTAAAGAAGGCATGACTTATGAAGAGGTACCTATAGAAATTCTCGTTAGGCAAGTAAGAAAGCTGAGAGCAAAAGATATAGCATCTGTAAAAGTTTTGTGGAGTAATCATGATTCAAAAGAGGCTACGTGGGAGGTCGAGGAAGATATGAGGAAGAAATATCCATATTTATTTGAGGAAAAAGGTATGTGAACCTAGGTTTGGCTCGGTATATATATATATATATATATATATATATATATTAAATACAAGTTAGCATGTGTTTATGTCCTTGCTAGATTACACTTAGTTGTTGAAGTAATTTAGTTTATGTCAGAGTATATTAAGTTATTTAATAATTTAGTGTCATGCCAGAGTATATTTAATTCATTAAAGTTATTTATTTATTTATTTTTGTTGAAGTGTTGTGCTTTAGATTTTGATTGGTGATTGTGGTGCCTCCTTGCCGGAGTGTGAGAAATTAGTTTATGAGTTGTGTATGGTGCCTACGAATGGCCTGTTATGATATATTTGGTTGTAGTTGGTGTAGTTGTGGTATTTTTGACAGGGATATTTTTTTTGATAGTCCAATTTACAAGGGAAACTCTGCCAAAAATTTTGAAAATTTAGGGAGTTAGCCAAAATTTTGAGTCCCTTAGAAGAGTGAGTAGTGCTAAAAAAACTTAAGAGGTTCAAGGACCTAAGGAATGACTGTTAGCTTAAGAATAAGGCCCTAGCAACATTCGAGGACGAATGTTTTTAACGAGGGAGATTGTAACACTCCTCAAATCTATAAAAGTTTCAAGACATGCTAAATATAGAATTTTATTTTTATAATCTTAATTATACTTCTATTATGGACTTAAACCCTTGTGATTGATTTTTATTTTACTTCTCTATTTATAAATAATCGGATGTACAATTAGAGAAATATTATTAATTTTAATATTACTAATTATTAAAACTAAGTATTATTAAATACTAGTTAAGTCAAAAAAAAGGGAGAGGGAGGGAGGGGGGGGGGGGGGAAATAAATAAGGAGAGCACATGATTAACCTAAAGCCCAAAGTGGGCTGTTGTAAGAAAAGGCTCAAGGCCTTAGACGAAATACCAAGAAGCACTTTCAAAAAGCAAAAGGCTTAAAGCCTATAACAAACAGATGTAGCGTTACTTCTCCTGCTTCTCCCATCGAAGTAGTCACGCAGGACCTTCTTTAGGCCACGACTGAGGTAAATTTTTTTTATGGAATTGTAAGCTATAACATCATTATACACTAGAACCTAACACCCTAATGGGGTGAATTCATAGGAAAGTTTTACAAAACCTCAAGAACACCCATCAAGTACGAGTTAGGTTTTTGGTGTTACAAGATAAATTCTTCACTTTTATTGGATTGCTATTGACGGGTTAAAGTTGTTGGAGATAGTAAAGAATTGTTAGAACAAGACCTCACCCCAATACTTAGAAATTTAGAAGTTGAACCTAAAGTTTTTAGAGTTGAGAAAAGATTAATACCTTGGGAAAGTTGGATACTTATTGTAACTTATTGTTGTAGTATTTGGTCGTTGAGTTGATTACAAGGATTGGAACTTACAATCTTGATTGAAAGGAGAAATTGAGGTGAGTGGATATAACCCTTTACTAAAGTGGTTCTACACACAAAAACATCCCCACAAAGTATTTGATAAAATGCTTTAAAGAGTCAACATGTGCTTAATTGGAACGAGTGAATACATGTTGACTAACTATATTCTAGATGAAGCTTATATATTTTACTTGAGAAGTGTAATCGTCTATTCTTCATTTTTTTTTTATGCTTTATTACATGATCTTACATGTTAAAGTTTCAAGAGTTAGATGGAACTTTTAGACATACCTTGAGTAATTTTATTTCATGCTTATGATATGCATACACTTAAGTATATTATTATGAATACTGATAGAGCACTTTCAAACAAGATTTAGACTTGAAAAGTCACAAGAAGAAGTTTTAAAAAGATAAGATTTTTGGGAGTATTCTCTATTCTGAGAAAGGGTCATCGTCCAGGCCGAGGGTCCTGACCAAGGCGTTGACTTCCTGAAACTACTTGTGCCAAAGTAGGGAGTACACGAGCCGAGGGTCTCGTTGCTGAGAATTTACTTAGCCAGGATAAGGTATGATATATGAGCGCTGAGAACCATGAAGCGAGTGGCACCTCGTGGATTGAGCCTATTCGATCAGTTTGGGATCGAACCCGTGCCGATCACACGATGACTAAGACAGAAATAAGTCAGGATAGTTGGAGCTCCCGAAGTATAAAGTGAAGGATTTTTTTTATAAGAAAGAAAAAGAAAAGAATTTCTTTTAGAATATTCATAAACTGCTATTATGCAATTATTTTAGGATTGTTCTTAGAAGCTTTATATTTTTTTATGCATTTAGATTATTTGCTCGTAATGTATATTGTATTAAAGTTTCATCCCATGTCGTTGAGACTCACTGAGTACAATGGATGGTACCGACGTTCTCTTTTAGGAACCTACGTTGGTTTGCGGTACAACGTAGAAACCGGTTTTGCAGGCGAGCAGGCTACAGTTTAGGACTTCCCTCCCTTCCAGTGCTATTGGTGAGCTCCGCTTTTGTTCGTGGAGTAATCCTTTGAGTCATATTTATGCATTTATATTTCTTTGTTTACTTGGAGTACAGTATTTCAGTGATTACTACGAATAAAGTTTTGGAGTTGGTTTATTTTAGATATTTAAATTAATTAAAAGTATTTGGTTAAAGTATTGCCTTATTGCATATAAAGTATGAAGTTATTATAATAGATTTGATAAGCTCAGATTGTTCACTCGGTCATGTTTAGTGATCGGGTGCCGGTCACGGCTTGTTCAGAAAATGGGTTGTGACAAACTTTGTATTAAAGCCTCAGGTTTATGGAGTCCTAGGGGTCTATGAAGCCGTGTTAGTAGAGCCTTGTTTATGGGTATGAAGCGCGCCATACTTATAAACATGAGGCTACAAGCATTTAGGAAAAGTCTCATTTTTTCATACTTTAGATCGTGCAGTATATCCTGCCTTTAAGAAATTATCTAATGTATTCGTTTCTCCAAAACTCGCAGAAATGGCTCGTACTCGCAACTCCGACACCGACACTCAGGATGCTGCTCAAGAAACTATTGTTACTATTGTGACCAAGGGTAGAACTAAGAAGGCTTCAACTCGAAAAAGGAAGAGTAAATCCACAAAGGGGATTCAAGTACCCCGGGTTGAACATGAAGAAGGGGTGGAGCATGATGATCCAGTACCTCAGGATCCAGTGCCGTAGACATGTGATTTTTGACCCTCCCCAAGATTTCTTATATTTTAGCATGTAAATATTTAATTTAGGCCTAATATAACTATTTCAACTAACTTTTACTCTTTTACTTTATTTTAAGAACAAAAATTGAAAATTACAAAAATAGTTCCATATTTCTCTATTTAATTCAAGTATTAGATATTTTTAGAAGGATATATTACTTCGAACCTATTTTATTTTAATATAATTTTTGAAAATACCAAAAATAGTTTCAACTTTAATTTTTAGTTTTATTTTAAATATAATAATTATTAAAATTAATTAAGAATTATTTTATATCTTCTTATAAGTATTTTTAGAAGCAAATTAAATTTTTAGCCTTTTCTTAGCCCAATTTAATAGATTTAGAGTCCAATTAAAATCTAGGCCCATATTTTATCTTACCCTAAGAATAAGACACACAAAGACCCTAACCCATCTTCTTCAGGGAGAGAACACAAGAACAAACCCTAGCTGAACCCTAGGAAAGACCACCCTCCAGCCGCCGCCACTAATCAGTTGACCTACTAGCGGACCCCCTGAAAACCCAAGCTTCTTTTCAACCTCTTAAACAAGACCTGAAAATTCACGACCTAGCCAGTGACTCTACTCGCCGGAAAACACTCACTCACGACCACCCACACCCAAGAAACCATTGGAGCCGCTGCTGCTTCTTTGAACGCACACAGCAGCTGCCGATATCTTCACTTCTATGTCGGACGAGTTCAGAACTAACAGTGTCGTCATCGTCGTGGCAGTAACGTCATCGACTCCGGTAAGTTTTGAGGTCTGGATTTGAGTCCGTTCGAGGTCAGAGTCCGAGGTTCGCCGGCGCGTGCGATTCAGGTTCTAGTCATCGTCATAGGCCATAGCAATTTTGCATCCTAACCAAACTTGTAACGTTGGAGGTTCTCGTTAATTGAAAAGCTCAGTTTAAGTCGAGCTTCATCTTCATTTCAGCATTTATTTGGTTATTGTTGCTGCTATCTTCAACTTAGCCTTAAAGCGGTTTTGAGACGTGATCGTGTTTGTCCGCCGGAACAGTTGCAGATCTGACCGGTCTCCATTTTTACGCCTCAAACGGAGTTGATTTGAGTTGCTGAAATTTAATCCATAGTCCACGCATTGAGGTCCATTTCTCATTCCTATGCCTTAAATCTGTTCTTGTTTGCTATTGTGTGAATGAATTGGCTCTACTTTCCTTGAATGCATTCTGTTGATGTGAATTTCACATGGGTTTGCAATTTTCTTTAGATTTCGTTTTGCTCGTATTGTTAATGAATTGATTTAGAGCTTATTTTGATTCTAGTTAAGTGGTATTGAGCTTAATTGATGAAACTTTTTGCTTAGTTATCTTATTTTAGGTATTAATTGACGCTTAGGCTTGTAGTTTAATATTCGTTATCAAAGTTGGTGTCCTCATTAGGCAACTAAGATTGATGGACTGTTAAAGAGTTATGTGACCATTGGGTATGGGGTAATACTAAATGAAAGCAGATATTTAGTCCATGAATAACTTGTTTGATTCTATCTTGTTTACATTGTTCGCTAGGAGTATGCTTAGGCCGACAACACTCGGGTCGGCAAGCCTTAGTATTTTGTTAGTTTCGAGGCAAGAGGTCGTTCCCTTAGTTAAATTTATTCGGGGAATGCCCCGAAGGATTTGTATATATATTTTTTTCGGGGTGATGCCCCGAAGTACTTGTATTTGGAGGCCTAATGTAGAACTCGTAGTGTTTTGTTTTCATTTTCATTCCCATTTTTTCTTTTATTAGGTAGGAACGACCTCGAGCTTCTTGTGTGTTATTTTTCTCGTTTCTGTATTTTTTTACCTTAATTCGAATATTCTAGAAGCCAACTTGATCATGTACGCAACCGTGACCTTCACGGGACTTTGGGAGTGCCTAACACCTTCTCCTTGAGTCAAATGAACCCCCTTATCCGAATCTCTGGTGCAGACTTAGTTTTAGAGTCCCAAGTGTTTTTAAAAGGAAAAAATTATTTTTAGAAAAACGGTGACCCGACACACCGAAATCAAATGTCAGGTGGCGACTTTGAGTAATTTCCTTTTGAACACAATTCTTTTGTCACTTTTAATTAAAAAACCCTTTTTGAGCTTCATAAAATCTTTTATTAATTTAAGAGGGTTACGTCAGGTTTGTATAAAAAAGGAGGGTGTGGCATCTCTGACGCCTCTGCTGGGGAATTGCAGGTTCGAGCTAGTACTTGATCTTGTTGGCTTTTAGGATATTAGGTTGAGGTTTTTATGTGTTTTGTTTGCTTTATTTGATTTTTATTTTGTTTATGTCCTTTTATTATTTGCTAGTTGCTTATTTGTTCACAGTTTTTCCTTTATGTGTTACTGCTTTATAAACTGTCATCATTTGCATAACCATGGGTCTTCTTTCTGCATCAAGTCTCGGAGTACGCGTCGCGTGCACGAACTCTTTGTTGAGTCACCCTTAATTTAGGAGGGGAGGCCGTCGGACGTATGGAGTGGGTGGAAAGCTTGAGCAGCCACCATCGACCATACGCTCCCCCGAATTGCCTTGTTAGTGAACCCCAAACTTAGGTCAGCCTTTAGGTCATTTTTATTTGCATCATGTCATTTAGACCTAGCAGGGCTCGGTCCTAGGTACCGTGTCCCTTGTAAGAAGCCTATCCAAATTTTGTCAAAATGGGCCCGTGGCCTAAAAAGACATTCAATCATCCCAATGTGATACATGTTGCATCTTTGAGGGTAAAAAGGTCATTTGACGGACCGATGCTTGAGAGAAAAGGGTGAAAATAAAGCAAGTAGGGCCCAGTTACATTTTTCTTTCACTACTTTTTCAAAAAAAAAAACAAAAAAAAATGAAAATGAAAAATCCAAAAAGATTTTACTCTTTCCCATTATTTTCCAAAAACTCAAAAAAAAAGAAAAAAGAAAATCCAAAAAGATTTTACACCTTTTCATTATTTTCCAAAATTCAAAAAAAAAAAAAGGAGAAAAAGAAAATCCAAAAACCTTTTTTTTATATTTTCCCATCATTTTCCAAAAATTTAAAAAAAAAAGAAAAAAAAGAAAATCCAAAAATATTTTGTACTTTCCCACCATTTTTCAAAAAAGAAAATCCAAATTTTCTTTTACATTTTCTATCATTTTTTTTCTTCAAAAAGACAAAAATATAGTTTTTTCAAATTAGATGTATTTTTTAAATTCTATCCGTATCCAATTTTCCCGAACTACGCGAACCTGATTCTCGTCTTCCGGGGCGAGATACGTAGGCAACCCACATAGGGTCCGGTCTTCCTAGTGAGTCTTAGGTTCTTGGCTTTGCGGGGTCTTAGCCAAATCTTGCATGTATAGCCACTTTTGGTCACATCGGCCATTCTTGCAAAATGGGATCATTTTCGTAAAAGTGGTTCAATAACCCAGGTTTTATGATTTTGAGTCCACAACTAGGTGTCATATTACTTCAAGGTCCTTCCTTATTGGGTTTGCATCTTTAGCCATTTCTGGCCATATCGGTCGTTTTTGCAAAATGGGTCATTTTTGCAAATTAAGTTTTTGGCCAGGATTATTGGGAGTTTGAATCCATATAAGCCATAGGGAGGTATGTCCATGTCTTTTAGGTCACCTTTGTTGAGTTTGCGCTAATAGCCACATTTTGGTTATATAGGTTAATTTTCAAAAATAGCCCAATCTTATCTTACATGTGTACAATGGGAGGTGTGGTCTCACATAGTGTCTCGAGTCATCTAATCTATTTAGTCTTATTTTTCTAATTCAGGTATGGATTCTTTTACCACAGCTCGAGCATGATTGATACCCCAGGACCACTGCATTCAGGAGCTGCTTAAGGAGCCTTTTTATATTCTGAGTCTGTTTTCATGTTTTCTCTTACTTGTCTTGTACAGTAGTTTTCAGTCATTTAGTTGGTGTTAGAGTGGTCGTAGTATAGTTTAGTTTGCCGGGTCTCTCATTATCGTACCTCTTGTTGTGTATTTGAAAAACCAAAAAAAAAAATTATATATGAAAAACTCAAAAAGATTTTTATTTTTAGTTTATTTGTCCATTACTTTTTTCAGAACTACGCTTGATCTGATTCATGAGGGGCATGATACGTAGGCAACCTACATAGGGTTCGATCAAATCATTTTCTTAAAAAAATTTAAAAAAAAAAGAAAAAAGAAAAAAGAAAAAAGAAAAGAAAAGAGATGAAATTGAGGACATGAGAAGTAAGAAAAAGAGCGATAATTAGAAAGAAAAGAGAGGGAAAGAAATGAAAAACGAAGCTGTGTTAGAAAGGAAGATGAAGAAGGAAATGGGGCAAAAAGAGTGAAATTGGGATGATGCCAAATGATATTTTGACCCTCGAAGCCATTCCAGAACCGTTAACTGTGACCAGGGGGCATTGCACGCAATGTGATATTTCTATCTGATAGATGCTCTAACCCTAACATGTTGGCTTTGTTTTGCTCCTCTTTGTTACTTTCATTGTTGTCATAACAGAGGGTGGTTAGTTTGTGGCACTTTGGTGATTTGTCCATACAACACAAGGTCAAAAGCAAGGAAGCCATGGCTAGCAAAGACTTGGACACAGGAGTTGTTGACCCGCCGAGGGAGGTTGGGAAGTCGGAATCTGAATTGAAAGAGGAGGTCCAAAGGTTGAAACAACAGATGGCAGAAATGTATCAGTCTTGGATCAGGGGGCATCCTCCACCCTCATTCCCCACTAACTACACTGAAAATCCTACAACTATCCCACCACTATCACAAGCCCAGGTTCCCACTACCGTTGATCTTTTTCCACAACACGCACCGGGCTTTACCCCTTACCACAATTACCCTGGCACTTCCTCCCAAACTTTCCATGCTCCACCAGCCAAAACAACTGCATTTCCACCTCCAGATACCCAATATTATGCCCCGGAACCCACCTTCAAAGCCCCAGATCCTTAACTCCTACACTCCTCACTTTGAGCCTCATGTTGAAATTGAGGAACCACCTAAGAACGCGGAGCAAGAGGAGATGTTTAAGAAAGTAAAGAGCCTGGAGCAATCATTGAGAAATATTCAAGGGTTAGCAAGCCATGTAAGTGTGTCTTATAAGGATTTGTGTTTGTTCCCTGATGTCCAATTGCCTGCCGGGTTTAAGATGCCCAAGTTTGACTTATATGATGGACATGGGGATCCTGTAGCCCATCCGAGAGGTTATTGCAGTAAGATGAGAGGCGCCGGGGGAAAAGACGAATTACTGATGGCGTACTTCAGTCAGAATTTTGTCCTTTGAAACTATAAAACCTCACACCCCTTCCCTTTAGGATTAGTAGTCCCAAATACCTCCGGGACTGATAGGATTGGGGCGGGTAATAGCATGCAATAAGTAAAACGAGACCATTCCGCGTTTAATACCTTAATGGGGTGGGAAAGGGTAGATATGGACACGATGACCACGCGATAACACCACGTATATAAACGGTTACCGGTGTTGTGTGGGGTGATCCATATTATTTATAAACCTAGGACCCTCTTCCCTTTACTCGTTTATTTTATTTCAAAACTGTTTTTTTCTTCTCAAATTCCAGCTTCTTCGACTGCTTTTAACTGCAATTACTTGCAACAATTATGTGAAAACCCCTCCCCCTCATATTTGTAACTCCTATTTGTCTATTTGTTGTTTGCACTTAAAGTCACAATTATAGTATGGCCGGGAACCACACTAGTGGATCTCGAGGTGTGCCTAACACCTTCCCCTCGAGATAATTTCGAGCCCTTACCCAATCTCTGGTTTTCTAAATCAAAATTCTCCTTAGTGTCCTAATGCACTTAATCATTAGGTGGCGACTCTTCAATTCAAACCCAATTCCCAAAAGGAAATGAGTTGTCCTCCCAAATGTCATAAACCCGATTTCGCGAGAAAAAAGGGGGCATCGACACCTCCCCCTCTAGGCGACCCCTAGCTGACTGTCCCCCACCCCTAGCTGGCTGGGCGGGTGGTGAAGTAACTGGTGCTGAAGTCGAGGGCTGACTCCTCTGCTAAGATGAACCCTCAAGACGACGAGGACACTGCCTCCACATATTCCCTAACTCCCCACACTCATAACAACTCCCTGGTGCTGGAGACGGGGACTGAAGGGAACCCCTAGCACCGCCCCTAGCACCGGGATGACGAGCTGAAGAACCTGGAATAGAAGAGCCCTGAACTGATGGAGCACGGGATGAACTCTAGGCTGGAAGGGCACTGAGTGAGGAATGACCCTTTTGAGAACTGTGAGAACCATGGCCCGATGATGCCCCATGATGACCTAGGCGAGCTGATTGAGCATGCCTGGATGGGCGGCCTCTGCGATGCTGAAACTAGCCCCCATGATGAGTACCACCAAATCCACCCTGACCACGAGGCCTCTTAGCCTCCCTCTCGAACCTCTCATGACCACGAACCATCTCAATCTGTCAAGCTATGTCCACAACCTCATCGAAGGTAGCACCAGACACCCTCTCTCTGGTCATAAGCAACCGAAGCTGATAACTGAGGCCATCTATAAACCTCCTGATCCTCTCTCGATCTGTGGGAACCAACCAGACCGCATGACGGGCCAACTCGGAGAACCGCATCTCATATTGTGAAACAGATCTGTCACCCTGCCGAAGCTGCTCAAACTCCCTGCGCAGCTCCTCTCGATGAGACTCAGGTACAAACTTCTCTAGGAAGAGAACGGAGAACTGCTGCCAAGAAAGGGGCGCTGCGTCAGCCGCCTACGCCTCTAGTAAGCCTCCCACCATCTAAGTGCAACCCCTGAAAATAAGGAGAGCACATGAATAACCTAAAGCCCAAAGTGGGTTGTTGTAAGAAAGGGCTCAAGGCCTTAGATGAAATACCAAGAAGCACTTTCAAAGCAAAAGGCTTAAAGCCTATAACAAACAGAGGCAGCGTTACTTCTCCTGCTTCTCCCATCGAAGTAGTCACGTAGGACCTTCTTTAGGCCACGACTGAGGTAAATTTCTTTTATGGAAATGTAAGCTATAACATCATTATACACTAGAATCTAACACCCTAATGGGGTGAATTCATAGGAAAATTTTACAAAACCTCAAGAACACCCATCAAGTACGAGTTAGGTTTTTGGTGTTACAAGATAAATTGTTCACTTTTATTGGATTGCTATAACAGGTTAAAGTTGTTAGAGATAGTATAGAATTGTTAGAACAGGACCTCACCCCAATACTTAGAAATTTAGAAGTTGAACCTAAAGTTCTTAGAGTTGAGAAAAGATTAATACCTTGGGAAAGTTGGATACTTATTGTAACTTATTGTTGTAGTATTCAGTCGTTGAGTTGATTACAAAGATTAGAACTTACATTGTTGCTTGAAAGGAGAAATTGAGGTGAGTGGATATAACCCTTTTCTAAAGTGGTACTACATACAAAAACATGCCCAGAAAGTATTTGATAAAATGCTTTAAAGAGTCAACATGTGCTTAATTGAAACGACTGAGTACATTTGACTAACTATATTCTAGTTGAAGCTTATATATTTTACTTGGTCTATTCTTCATATTTTTTTATATGCTTTATTACATTATCTTACATGTTAAAGTTTCAAGAGTTAGATGGAACTTTTAGACATACCTTGAGTAATTTTATTTCATGCTTATGCTATGCATACACTTAAGTATATTATTATGAATACTGATAGAGCACTTTCAAACAAGATTTAGACTTGAAAAGTCACAAGAAGAAGTTTTAAAATGATAGGACTTTTGGGAGTATCCTCTATTCTGAGAAGGGGTCATCGTCCAGGCCGAGGATCCTGACCAAGGCGTTGACTTGCTGAAACTACTTATGCTAAAGTAGGGAGCACACGAGCCGAGTGTCTCGTTGCTGAGAATTTACTTAGCCAGGCTAAGGTATGATATATGAGCGCTGAGAACCGTGAAGCGAGTGGCACCTCGTGGATTGAGCCTATTCGATCATGATGGGTTTTCAATGTCTTTGCCTTACGTTTTGATGATCTAACAAACTTATTGTCAAGAACCAGATAGGGAACCTGACGTACTTGGTACACATTACAAATGAATGGATTCCAGCCAGGACTCCAGCTAATGTGAACTGCTGCAAGTGTAGAAAGTAGAGAAACAAGACAAGGACCTGATCCCTTGTGTTTCCCTGACAGCAGTACGAAAGTCAACTGTGCATAGCTGGAAAGTGACTGCCACAGAAACAGTGCAGCAGTTTTGCAGTCACTTGTCCTTTGACCAACCGAGTGCTTACATCATTCATATGATGTCATCAAAGGTGTATTAACAAATGTATCACAACAAAAACATCACCTGAACATTTGAGAATTTACTTCAAGCATTCAAGTCTTCTGCAATAGTGAACTTAATTCTCAAGAGCTTGAAGAACAAAGTTAAACGCTACTACGGACCAGTTCCTAAATCTAGTATTTTGTTGTCCTTAGTTGAGTTGTAACTTTATGATTGTTCTTATTGTAATTCATAAATTTCTTAGCTAGAAGTGTTGCTTAGGAACCCCTTTGTAAAACCATAAGCTTTCTGAGTTTGTGTTGTGACTAGAGTTAGTCATAAGTTAAAGTCTTTGTAACTAGTGAGTGACAAAATGGCTTGTGGTAAGTGTATTACAAGTTAGTTGAGTTGAAGTCTTTGTAATAGAGTCATTACAAAGTGGCTTGTAATAGTGTGTTTACAAGTTAGTGAAGTTCAAAGCCTACAAGCGTAGGTCATGATTTTTGTCCCCTTGAGTTGGGATTTTTCCACGTAAAAATTTTGTGTCTCATTTACTTACTGTTTCATTAGTATTCTCAGCGGAAACCCATAGAGGACCAGGTACTCTATAGTTTGGTGGACTCATATAAACTAACAATTGGTATCAGAGTGGGTTCCTCCTACCAGGCTAACACCTAGGAAGGATCCGTATGGCTGCCCCACCAAACTTTGAAGAAGGTCAATCTACGTACAGACCACCCAGGTTCAATGGTCAATACTATGGGTGATGGAAGACAAGAATGCATGATTTTATCATGGGTGAATATTCTGAGT